AAAAGGCAATTCCATTAATTCATTAGGATCATCATCCAAATTTACATGTTTTTCAAGCTCAGTAGAGGTAGGAGCACGGTAAAATTTGATCGGTCTTGAACCAACATTACGGACTTCCTTGACCTCTAAACTCTCGACCTTTTGAGGGAGAATCAGAGTAAGGGTCATAGCATTCACATAGTGATTTATCCGATCATACGTTGTTTCATATTCATTCTTCTCTGTATCTTCTAAGGATATCTCGTACTGAGGTTTCTTCTATTTTTTCATCATTATTTAATCATCAAAACTGCTTCATTACCAATGTTGATAGTTGGTCTAATCCGTTCAACGATTAAGTTGATTCTTCCTCGTTCACGTCCCCGGCCTCGACCTCGGGTGCGCGAACTAAAAGAACCTCCACCAACTCGTTGTAAGGGAGTGGTCGAAGATCGTTGAAGCGAAGTTGAATGGCTTCCTCTTTGTGACTTTTCTGAATCTTCATTTTTATTTGTGACAATTTCGTGAGAGAAGACAGTTTTCTTTGGAGGCAAGTAGTAGGCAGCATCTTCATGGTTACCAACTGCATGCATTGAAAATGGTTGTAAGTCTCCTTTGATGCAATTTTCTTGAATTGTAGTATTTGATGCACTGGTGTAGGGATGATGGAACCATTGTAAGGATGGTGGAAGCATGTTGTGCTCATGAATCCATGGTCGACCTAATAGAGCATTAAAAGAGGTCTCAGCGTCGATGATATGAAATTTAGCAGTTGTCACGAGTTCCCCAACTTTCATAAGTAACGTAATTGATCCAAAAGCACTTTCTCCCTTTTAATTGAATCCTCTTAACATCATTTTATTGGTCGCATTTATCAGTCGTAGGCTCTTGAGCTTCAATATCCTAATAGGCCAATGTTCGTAGGCTCATCAAGTTAAGAGATGATCCATTCTATTAAAACTTTGGACAACACAAATTTCTCGATGTTGATGGAGATGTAGAGTGGACGGTTGTGGGCGGCGGGACCGAGCAGTAAGGCTTCTCATCTGTGAAGCTTACCCCAGGCTGCTCTTTCAACGAACAAACTTCATTTGAGGATGTGCTGGCCAACTGAGCTAAGCAAATCTTTGGGTCAAGCAAAGCTGTAACCAGAGACTCTCTCATCTCCTGTGACAGGATCAGAGTGTCATTGTCATAGATGCTTATCATAGATGCTTAATCGGGCTTACAACTTCTAAGAAGAGCTAGCATGTTGTAATCTACTTTGTATGATTCTCTGATTTTATCTTGAATATGTTGTTCTTCCACTGGTGGAGGTGGAGGCATCTCCTTTCGGGTCATTATCTACTTTCCTTTATCTGTTGGAGCTATTCTTGGTGGTAACAGTTTTCCACTCCTTAAGTTAACTTCCGTGATTTCTTCTTCTTGAGCCGCCATTAATGAATCTTCTGGTGTCTCCTCTTTGTTAGAAGATCTAGGTTGATGGCAAGTGGTATACAGTGGTGCTCGAGAATTGACTCCTCGCTCCTAGTGCTGTCGTAAGCAGCGTCATTGATGTCTTCTTTGGACTTGACAACGAGTTCATCAGACTCGAGTACGATTTGAGGATCATTTTGGGGATCAAAATTGAAGTTAGATTGGTTGTAATCAGTCACGTTATCACTAGAAACAGTTAAAACATAGCCGAAATCTTGAACCAACATTACGGACTTCCTTGACCTCTAAACTCTCGACCTTTTGAGGGAGAATCAGAGTAAGGGTCATA